ACTGTCCACCGACCCCCGGAGGCGACCTCTCCAGCCCGCTCCCAGGAGACCACCCCTCTCCTGGCGGCGACCGGACCCGAGCTGACCACCTTCCAGGCGACCACCCCTCCGGACGCGGGTCTTACGCCCACCGCCCCTCGGGCGCCGACTAGTCCTGCGCCGACCACCCTTTCCACGACCACTGGCCTAGCGCCGACCACCCCTGTAGCGACCACCGTCTTGGCGTCGACCGCTCCCCGGACCCTGACCCCTGAGCTCCCCAGAAACAGCAGCAGCAGCAGCAGCAGCAGCAGCCTCCCGCCCACCCCACCTGTCACCGAGGCCCCTTCTCTTCCTCCCCTAGGTGAGTCCAGCTCTGCCCTCTTTGCAGGATCCTCGCAGCGGCTGCCCATCCATACCTCGCCCGGGGCAACAGCTGGGGTTGGATGCTTGGCTTAATATATCAGGTTTGCAGGGGATTTAGCTCAGTGGTGCTGTGCCTGCCTTGCAAGCACAAGGTCCTGTGTTTGATCCCTGGTACCAAAACAAAACAAGAACTATCAGGCCTTGGGAGGAGTATCCTTTTTGGATACTGTCTTCAAAAGTCTCTTTTCTTTGGAATCACGACTCATTGAGACAAGCAAATATCTGTAGTACAGATCAAACTTGCTGAGTTAAGTGGCTCTGTATAATATCATCTGACTTGATCTCATATAAATTTTTTATTCTTTTTTATTTTATTCATTATATTTATGACTATAAAATTAAAATTGAAGGGCCAGGGATTTAGTTCAGTGGTGCCGCCACCTGCCTCGCAAGCACAAGGACCTCAGTTAAATCTCCAGTACCAAAAAAAAAATTAGAAAATAAAATTGAATATATTCACTGAAAAAACTTAGAAAACAAAAACACAAAGTAATTAAAATTACACATAATCCCATTACTTAGCTTTAACTAATTAATATATTGTTACTTAACATAAGAATTTTTAATGCTACATAATCATTCAGAAATTGCTCTTTTTTTTGGGGGGTAGAGATCTAACATAGGGCCTTGTGCATGCTAAGCAAGCATTCTACCACTAAGCTACATACTCAGCCCTCTTACTTCATCATAGAATTTTAGCCTAGGATAATCCCTATTTCACAAATCTTTACTGAAAGAATAAACTCAATATATAAGCCAAATGAGAAGAGAACTGATTAAAGAGTGTGTGGTTCTACAGGGGTATGAGGTGTGAGATGAATTTTGTAGAGTTCAGAAGTAGTTCCTAGTCTTGCTTTCTAATATATTTGAAAAATGCTGAATCCCCAAATACTACAGTTTTAAAACCATAAATCTAGTGTAACTCTCTCTTTTTACATATAAAACTATTTGCCAAAATCATGAGACTAGTGAAAAAACCTAGCATCCCACATCTTACAGAAAAGGTCTCAGCTTTTCCAACTCAGCTAGTATTTCTACAAAGTTATGAGATGTTCATTTGTCTAGTGTTCTTCTTCCTTTAACTAAGAAAAATAGAAGAGATAAAATCGTGTAATAAAAATGAATAATTAATAAAATATACTGATTCTCAAAGAGCTCCATTTGCTGCAAGTGGCTTTTCATACTATTACCATAAACAAAAGATGAAAAAAAGTTCATTTCTAAACTAAGAGAAAAGGTCATTATTACACTATTTTCCTCAGAAATATTCCTAGTCGGGCCAGGGATTTAGCTCAGCGGTTTGGTGGCCTGCCTTGCAAGCGCAAAATAAAAAAGAAAGAAACAAAGAAATATTCCTAGTGTTGCTACAAACCATTCCTTCTTCATTCATTCATTCAATAACTTAATATATATTGAGGCTCTATTTGGAGATATGTAGTGAAGGTAAAAATAAACCAAACCAAGAGAAGTCTCTGTCCTTGGGTAGACTACTTAAACTTTCTGAAACTCAGTATTTGTCATACATTAGGTAATCTTTAACTACTACATTAAGAAATAAAAGGTATGATGAATATAAAAAAGAAATCCTGATGGGTAATCAGGCATATAATAATAATAATACAGCCTCAGCTGGCATCAGTTACCTTCCCTGCCAAAACGTTAAATATCAGATTGGAAATGCAAGGTCAGAGAATACTAAATTTCCTTATTAATAGCATACTGATTTTAAAGGCAATACAGCTGAAATGATAATTTCAAACAGATGATTTTTTAAGGTAATTCCAAACAGATTATTATACTAGGAAAGAAGTAAATAATATTTTAATCCAAAGAAATGAAACTTACACAAGCCCTCCCAATTAAGTTCTGTATTTCACTTTGTTATCTCTATCATCATGTACTTTCAGTTACACTCTCCATAACAGTCAGCCCTATATGGTGAAGAAAATGTATCAGAAATATATAGGGAAGAAAATGTAAAGCAAGCAATTTCATTTCCCCATTACTGAAGTAATGGCAGCTAAACTCCAAGAATCATATTCAAAATAAATTTCAAATAAAAAATATCAAATGTAAAAACCACTAAACACACTGAATGTGGTGGTACATGCCTATAATCCCAGTGCTCAGGGAGGCTGAGGCAAAAGGACTGCAAGTTCAAGCCAGGCCTGGGCAACTCAGTGACTTATCAAAAACCCTGTCTCAAAACAAAAATTTTAAAAGGCCTGGGGATGCAGTAGCCCAGTGCAAAGGCACTGGATTTAATTCCCAGAATGGCACCAAAATTTTTAAAATAAAAATCCACCAAAAACCTATACAAGTCTAGTCAATGTTTACCAATAAAAGTATCAAAAGAAGACAAAAGCTAAGCCTTTTTTAAGTAATGCAATACATGCAAAGGAATCAAGAATTATGAATAGTAAAGTCTTGGAGATTTTCAGATCACCTTGTAAATCACAAATGCACTGCACAGTTGTTAGTTATTGGAGGTACTCTCTTCACTATTAACTTTAATGATATCTCTACAGAAAAAAATTTGTCATTAAAAAAATCAAATGTTTCTCAGGTAAGTTAGGCATTCATATTGCACTTGTGTGTACCACAAATCCACCTACAAATAAAAACAGTTCATATAATTCATAAATAGAAAAAGAAAATAACTAGTTACTAAATAGGTGATTTTTTTTTTTAGAGGCAGCTAACGTTTTTTTTTTCTTTTGGTACCAGGGATCGAATTTAGGACCTTGAGTTTGCGAGGCAGACAGCAGTACCACTGAGCTAAATCCCCGAGCCCCAAATAACTTTTGTTATGATGATTTTTAAAAATTGTCCCTCAAGAGAAAAGTGGAAAACTGAGCAACAGAAAACTTTTGGTTTCCTAGAACCGAATGTAAAAATTTTCTCCATTTTTTTTCAAGAGACAATTAATACTATGTACGGAATATTACATAAATTATGACATTTTTTATTAACTGGGCTTAATAATCTAAATTAAACTTAAAAACAAATCAATAGAAAAAAGTCAAAGTCACAAAGAAAGGTTTTGTTCTAAATGGAAAGTGTACAACCTGTGCATCTTAATACCAAGACATCTTCAAGGACTTTTTGTTCATCTAGAAAGACCTCTTGGAAGAATTAGGCTTTGAGGAAGCACTGAAGGAATCAAAGTGGTAAACTATTACGGAGAGAGGGTAATTTGGCCCCTTAAAGAAGATGAAAAGAGCAGAGGGAGACATTAAGGAGACAAGAGCAGAACAAACATATAGAGAAGTTCACACTGAAAAAATAAACGAAGAGAGTACAAGAAAGATTTTTTGTTTTATTTTTAAGAAGAAAAATAAAGACTGCATGATAATCTGTGCAATAGTGGCATTAGTAGAAAAATTATTTTGACACAAATATATTACATGTACTTAGATATACCTAAAATGATAATTATTTTGAAGAAAATTTTACTGTGATTCAAAAATGTATGGATCCAGATATTATCTTTTTCATCACAATTTTAGAAGAAAGATTTCCTTTTAAAGCCACAAGCACAGGTACAGTAGTAGTTTTTTTGTAGTGAAAAGCAGATAAACCAAAATGTGTCCCCCGCAAAAAAGACCAACTGATCACAGAAGATCAATATAATACAATGTTAAAATTATTGATAAAGATTTTTATATTATATTAAAGAAAAACAAATGAGAGGGCAAAAGTATGGATTAAGGTTACTTATAACTAAATATATCATTTAACTTTGTCTTTCAGCTGAATAAGATCCCATATATCTATTCTCTTCTGATCTATTAAGTGCCCCTAATCTCTCTACTCCCAATTTACCAATCAGTAAAAAATGTATGCAATACTTTTCTTCCATTCCTTGTATAAGGGTGCCAGGATGTCTGGAAGTAAATGTATACATGTTTAGAAATGCTGAGATGAATAGTAATGCGCACTCTAATTTTATGGGTCTTTCGTAAAATCAACATAAAAAGACCCAGTCAGATTATTTCAATGTGTAAATTCTCAACTACCCAGAAGACTTCCTGGAGACATCATTCAAAAGATTTGAAACTAATGTTCTGAGGTTTATGTTGTTTCAGAAACCAAGCACACTAAAGAACTTCTACAGAAAACTAAGCACTTAGGTCATGGGGAAGACATTGTAAATTTGAAAAGTCCCTAGGCGTAACCCTAAAAAGAATTCAAATTTACCCCTCACAGACAAGAGTGAAACTCAGTCCAAAGAATAAGAACTATAAATTAATACCACAGTCACAAAAGAGAAAAATTGAAGGTGAATAAATATCACACAATAGAGTGAATGCCAAAGAACACCGACTTCTCTGGGCCTCAATCTCTTCAGCTATAAAATGAGGATAGGGACTTAAGTGGTACAGCATATGCTTTCCATGCCCTAGATCTGGCCCTCAGCATCAAAACAAAAACCTACCAAAATGAGAAATGAGGATAATAGTACCTAATAGTTCTGAGGATTGAATTGTTAATATATGTACCATACTTATAAAAGTGCATTTGCAATTTCTTTTTGGTTTTTTTTTGTTTGGTTGGTTGGGTTTTTATTTTTATTTTTATTTTTTTATTTAGAGAATACTTTATTAGTTTCTGTAATCAAACCCACGTAGATAAGACCTTACATATTTAATACAATGCATTACTTCTGTACAAATGGAAAAAAAATTAACATTTCTAGACCAATATGGCTGTTAATTTCTGTACAATGTCAACTCAACACAGTAAACTGGGATAACTTTTTCCAAAGTTGACAGCACAGTTAAAGTTTCCAAAAATTCAAATTATATATATATATATATATATATATAATTTGAATTTTTGGAAACTTTAACTGTGCTGTCAACTTTGGAAAAAGTTATCCCAGTTTACTGTGTTGAGTTGACATTGTACAGAAATTAACAGCCATATTGGTCTAGA